GACAGCAGCGTCCCTTCCTGGGACAGGGATGGATTTCGGCAGCCCTGTGCAACAGCCACACCTCGCAGAGGAGCAGGGAGGCTCAAATCCCCCTGCAGCTGCTGCTGGGCAGGAGAATCCTGGGGGAGGGCTCCCCTGGGAGGGGACATCCCTGCTGCCCACTCCTGCGCACCGCAGCCCCCGCAGGGCCCCCGGGGCATTCCTGGGGAGGGGGCCGAGAAACAGGTGTTTGTCAACAGCTCCTGCCACATGCATGAGAAACGCCAGGCCCCGCAGCGCAGCAGGGCTTAGCAATGGGCAAAAATAAAATAAAGAGAACCCCCCAGCAAAATCCTCCCCCCTGTCCCAGGCCGGGATCCCCAGCCAGCACACGCTGGCACGTGTGTGGAGAGCGGCCATGGGGCCGGAGCTCGGCCCTGCCGCTGCGCTCCGGCCTCTTCTCAAGATGGCTCCCGTGCCTCTTCAGCGGGGCAGCCATGCGAAGACAGCACTGGGCTCACTACCGCCCGGCTCAGGCAGCACAGGCTGGAGGGCTGAGCTGTGCTGAGGGGAAAGGGGGCACCAGGGGAGGGATGCAGCCCCTCTGGGAGTGGTGGCACTGTGGGAAAGGGATGTGGCCTGGCAGAAAGGGGATGTCGCCCAACTCCCAAGCTCAGCTCCATGATTCCTCCGTGGCCATGCTGAGGGTGGGTGATAATGGTCCCCAAGCGCAGGAGGATGAGGGTTCACCAACAGTGCCAAGCCTGTCCCTTCACAGGCAGGATGCCCACCTGCCTTCCCTACAAAATGGCTCCCACTTGAGGCTCAGCCCTGTGAGGGAACAGCCCATGCCCGACTGGCAGCACCGCCCAGCCAGAGCACAGGGCTGGGTTTGGAGCAACAACAACAACAAAAAAATGCAATAAAAAAACCAAAACATGACTTCAAATGGGATGGTCACAGTTGGGTGGGAGTGTCACTGCAACAGGCTGCCTGGCCTTCAAGATGGCAGCCCATCCCCTGGGGCATGGGGCTCTGCCAGGAGATTCCTGCCCATGGAGGGGCACCACCATCCCCCAAATGCTTCATGGGAACATGCTGGACCCAGAAACAACAGCAGCTCATTGTGGTTTCAACCACCGAGAAGCTTGTGGCAACAGCAACCACCAGCTCCACCGCAGCCCTTGGGTAGAGTCCCCCTTTCCCAGGGTTCTCCTCCGGGGGAGGCTGACACCCACCCTGTGGTCTGCACCAGCTGGGAATGGGGATTCCGACCCCGGGGCCACCCCAGCACCCTTCCCCCAGCGCAGCTCCCAGGCGGAGACGCTTAATCCCGACAAACCAGTTTGACTCAGCACAACAGGAACAGCTACAATTTTAAAAACATGCAAGTCTGTGATTCAGATTGCTGGGGCTGTTTTAATTAAACGCCAAGCTCCTCTGCTCCAGCGGCAGCAGCAAACGGCTCACGGAAAGAAAATGCAACAAACTGGTTTCCCCAAATATCTCTTGCAGTAAGTCATCATAACAAAACAAGGAGTTTCGGTTCATTCCTTAAAAACCAGAGGCCGCTATTCCCAATTGCAAGGGCTGGGCAGGCATGGCCTGGCAGCCACAGCCTCGCTGTACACTGAGGGAGAAATGTGGAGCTGCAAACAGAGCCTGGTGATCCAAGTTTTCCCTCTCCCCAGCTCTCCGCATGCTCCGCTTGACACAAAGGAAAGCCCTTCTCCTCCCCTCCTCAGGAGCAGGGATGGGAAGGCTTCCTCAAGTGCAGCTTTTACTGAGGAACAGGAGACTTAATGAATCCAGCGAGTGCTGCAGAGCCCCACGATCCACTTTCCCTCACAGCCCTACCCCAAGCGCCCATAAAACAGCAGGGCCAACTTCACCCATTGCCCCACCAAGAAACATGCCATTTCTGTGAAAAGTAATTAAACAGAAAGCAATCTCTCTGCCAAGAAAATACCTGGCAGTTACAGAACAGGGGTCAATTAAGCAGGGGTTTGCCGGTGCCAAGACAAGCCTGGTCAATCTGTGTGACACCCAGCTGGGGTCGGGGAGGTGTCACTGGGCAGAGCCCAGATGAAGAAAATCCCCCCTAGAAATCTTGCTGCGTTGCGGGGTTTGGCTATTTCACTAGAGCCCAAGTCTGCTCAGGACTATGTGCAGCAAACTACAGTGCTTCTGCATGGGAGTTCATGGGGAAGCACGTGGGAAACTCCAAGTTTAAATGGAGTCCTGAATCCAGAGAGGCTCCTCAGAACAGGAACAGCCTGGGAGAGTGGCTCCTAGGGAGAGCAGGTCCCTGTCCCAGTCTACCCGCACCCCCAGGGCGACAGGCAGATCCAGTCTGTGGCTGTCCATGCTCCCTTGGGCCAGGGTGTTTTGAAGCCTGGGGTTTTAGCCCTGGATGGCTGGCAAGGGCCCGGGACGCAGCACATTCCCCGTGCTGTTCCACCGCGTCCACTCCCCACAGGGCCTCTGCTCCCACAGCCCCGCTGGGACAAACTTCTCCGCTCAAACCCCCGTGCTGGAGAAAGGATCCGCTGTTGCCCCTGGATAGAGCATTCCTTCTGCAGCCGGCCCGGGGACTGCTGAACCGGAGAAGAAAAACACATTGTGACTTCAAACAGACCCAGCGCACTTACAGGATCTGGAGAGAAACCATTTTCTCCTCGGCAGCACAAAGCCCTCACTGAGCTGCTGCCGAGCGCGGCTTTTCTCCTCCACCCCCGTGGGGCCTTGTAAAGAAACCCAACTCCCCACCATGCCCTCGGGAATGGGGAGCGCCATCCAGCCCCAAAGCCCCCTGCCCCAAAGCCCAGCACCAGCCGCAAGCCCAGCCCTTTGCACCTCGGAGGGGACAGTAAAGTGGCCGGGTATGGGGACTGCTCACTGCTGTTGTCTGCAGGACGTGCGTACGGATTTATGGCCACGCCAGATTTATGATCAGCACTAAAATATCCAAACAAACGTGCACATGAGATTTACAGTAACCTCTGGAACGCGCCAGTCCCCGTCAGGAAGCAGCGGTGAGCGCGGACAGAAATGCCGAGCGTAGCAGAAGAGCGGGAGCGGGAGCGGGAGCTCGCTGACCCTGATGCGAGCAGCAGCTTCCCTAAGCTGCAGAAGGAGAAGCCTCTCCAGGCCAGCTGCAACTTTCCCTCCAGCTCGAACAAGAGCAAAGGGAAAAAAAATAATTAAGGAAAAAAAAAAAGAAAAAAAGAAAGAGAATCCCATGGGGAATCGGGGCCAGACCAAAAACTGCTGGGCAGCTGCCAGCCAGACCCGACCCGAAGTGGTCCCACTGGGCTGGCACCCAGCTGGGCCCTGACCTCTCAGACGGTGTGTTCAGCCCCTGACCCCTCCACACATTCGGGAAGCTGAAAAAACCCAGTGACTCCTCAGCAGGGCCTGTTTATTTTCTCTCCATCCGACTCTTCGCACTGCTCCATCCCCGGACAGCAAGGGAGGAGAGGCTGGGGCTCCCTGTGTCCCCGGGGGCTAGAGGGACTGTCCCCAGGTGATACACAGCGTGCTGCCAGCCCCCACGCCAGCTATCCTTCCCAAATTCCTAAACCGCGATGGGAAGCAGGTTGCGAGAGGCTACCTGCAAACGCGGGGCTACCCGCAAACGCGGGGCCGCGCCGGGCTCCCTGCCCACAACTTCATCCCCCGGCACCTCTGCAGAAGGCAGGGATCCCCGGGCGGGCTCGGGAGCCTCCATCCCGCGGGGGCCGAGTGCCGGCGGCTTCTCCCTTCCCCTCCTGCCGCGGGGCTCCCGCTCAGCCGGGAGCTCACGGACCCGGCAGGCCCACAGCTCTGATTCCTACAGCGTACAAAGGACGAGGGGTTTTAATTTTTTTTTTCCTTTTAAAGAAAAAACCAAAAAAATCGCACGGAGGGAGGATGAAAAGGAACGCGGACAACAAGCACCCCCCAAACTTTCTACAAAGCCCAAAGCTAGAGGAAAGACATCCCCCAGCCACCGCAGCGGGGGAGGGCTCCTGCCCACGGCCACCCCCGGCGCCGCGGCCCGAGCCTCGCAACGCGGGGCGACGGCAGCGGGAGCCCGCAGCACGACACCGCCCCCGAGCAGCCCCCGCCGCCCCCGGCCCGGGCGGGGGCACCCACAGCTCCGCTCCACCGGGGGATCTCCCTTCCCTTCCGTCCCTCCCTCGCCAGCCCCCTCCCGCCGCTCCGGTTACCGGACACCGGAACGCCGCCGCCCCGGCGCTCCGGCTGGAGCCCCGCACACTTTGTGCCGAGACAAAAACCTGTCCGGGCCCCCTTCTCCTCCTTCTCTCCGGTGCGAGCCGCCTTGCCCGCTCGGGAACCCCCGGTACCCGGCGGGGCCAAAAGCCTCTTTCCCCGCTCTTGCGCTGCCCCGCGGACCTGGCTTCACTCTAGAAGGGGGAGAGAATTACTCCCCGTTCTATTCCCAACTCCATCGGAACTCGAGGGTGGGCGAGCGGCGGAGCGCACAGCCGGCCGGGGGGAGATGCGGCACGCGTGGCCGCTCGCCCCGGAGGTCCCACGCTGGAGCCTCGGGGGTTAAGGCAGCGGGCGCGGCGAGCCCTGCCGGGGAAGGGATGGAGCCGGACACGGCACACGGACACTCCTTCCGCGGCCCCACCAGTTCTGGCACGCCACGAGCTTCCACTGAAAGAAATATTAATTTTCCAGCCCTCTCGGTCGTGGCGAAAAGCCTCGAAACGTGAACCGAGTATCCAAAGAGGCGCCGCTCGCTGCCAGCAGCCGCCGGCCGCGGATGCCGCGGCTCCGCCGCGCCGGGCTCGGTCCCACGGGGCGTTGACTCCGAAACCCACCGAGGGCGGCTAAGCGCCGGCGGCGGGGCTGCGGCGGCGAGCTCTCCGCGGGCACAACCGGGCATCCGCGGCGCGACGACGAGTCGCGCTGAGCCGCCACGGGCCTGGGACATCCCGGAGGATGCGTGCACCCGTGCGCGGTCGCCCGGGCCCCGGTGCGGCGGACGGGCACGCCCGCCCGGTACTCACCCTCCAGAGCGCGGCGGCCACCGGGGAGCAGCAGGAGCAGCAGAAGGGGGAGCAGCGGCGGCGGCGGC